GCAGCTGGCATGGGTCTGGGGGTCTGGTTCGGTCTGGTCGGGTCTATGGACCATGTCCTATGATCGTACAATTTTGATTAGCAGCAAACGACAGGCGACGTCAACAATTTAATTGCACATTTGCATTAGAGTGGAAAGCAGAAATGCGCTCCAAACCTGAGTCTGTCAACCGGCGGGGCTTGGCGGGGACTACTGCCGCTACTGCTGCTGCCAGCTCCTGGCTGCCTGGCAAGCGGTCTCCATTACAATTGCAAGGCGCAGGAAAGGTTTGATTTCTTAATTGTCGCTAAATGCGGGGCTGCCAAACATTGTTTTGTCGTCGTCTGGGCCGCATTATCGTCGATCATTTTGTTTGCAATGAGTTTTTGTAGTTGGCTGTTGTTGCTGGGCACACGAAATGAATGTTTGAGCATACACACAGCTGTAAAGGAATTGTTGAACGACGATCATGGTGGTAATTTCAGCAACCACGGGCTCAGAAATGGTAATGTGAACGGGAACGGGAGAGGGAAAGGGAAAGGGAATGGGAATGGAATGGGTATCGCAGCGCAATTGTCATGTCAGTTGCTGGTGGTGGTGCTGCTGCTTTTGTATTTGTTGTAGTTGCTGCTGGTTGGGGTCGTATTTTAATTGCTTCAATTTTAATTTATTTTTATTTTGCTGCCACTCTCGCGTCTCTTGAGCACTTGAGCTAGGCATTTTTGGCATGCTTAGTTGAAATGTTTTCGGCTCATATAAAAGTATATATCTATATATACCCTCATAAGATATGGTCCTATTGTGTGCATGTAATTGAGCAGCTACCTGCATAAGTTGCGCCAGGCCACGCAACAGCAATAGAGGAAAAGGAAAACATTTTATCGCACTGTGTCAGGGGTTACATTTCTGTTGCAGTGTTGATAGATGTCTCGCATGCTGTTTAAATTTTCCATAGCGAACCAATAAACTATGCTTTAATTATGCGCGCATTAATTTATTTCGATTCGTGGCTAAGCCCCAGTTCGCACCCACTCTACTCGACGAATGAGGCTTTGGGTTGTGTGACTGTGGCACGCTCATAATACTTTCACTACTTAAAACACAAAAATAACTTATATTTGGTAATTTTGGCTCAGTTAATTTACATTTAAATATAATTTTCGTTTTTGGCTTTTAATATTTTTGGGTGCCTGCCGTCAATTTCTAATCTCTTTTGGCTGCCCGTTGACATCAAAACGCAGTTTTCAAAGCATTTTTTTAATCGTCAAACTGTCACATAAACTTTACATTTTATTTGACAAGCACGCTTGGCATACACAAAAAAAATGAAAAAGACAAAAAGCCTCTGAGCAAAATGCGTACAACAAATTTCTTTTCGATAACGTGTACATTTACAGCAACATGAGAGCCAGTGCGAGTGCCAGCGGCTGCGGCTGCGGCTACGACTTGAAAGCGCAATGTGGCGTATACGCAATGTGACAAGTTGCTCTCATGGCACATTAGTTGAAATTATGACAATTTTCCTAATACAATAATTCAAATTTATTTTCGTATGGCGGACAGCTATTGGTTCGTTATTATTAATTCAATTTGCTTTCGATTATCAGCAGCTAAGCCGTAGATTTCGATTTCTTTCAAATGTTAATCCGCATTTGGTGAGCTAATCTCTGTGATTTGTTAGACTTTTGTTCATTATTGTAATTACAATAATTCGAATGCAAATTTTGAAAAGTAATTTATGCAAGTGAAACGCGCTGCAACAAAGACGGTGAATAGGAGTATTATTAATAAATTAGAAACATCAGTTATATATAAAGCTAGATAGAGGATATATTCAGGGGCTTGGCATGCGTTTGGGCCACAGTTTTAATTGCGTTGCCCAAGACAGGAAACAGCGCGCTGAATTTAACGCAAAAAACCCCAACACAAATCTGAGACTTAGAATGTAAGATAATTTCGGTCGGCGGATATAAGGTGCTATAACTCATGTGGCGGCAACAACAATTTGATATCAAAGAGTTGTGTTTGCCAGCAGATCGCATAAATTATGAATGCCGTAGATTGCAGCCCATGGGAGAGCTGAATGTAGTGTTTATTTTTTTTCCTTTTCATTTTATCATTTTTTCATTTGGTATGGGTGTTAGAACCTTTCGAGGTTTCGGATTTTGGCTTTTAAGAATTTATGGCGCCTTAAACAGACAGATATGCTCGATGCCATTAGTGATTTATTGTGGGACAACAATCGATTGTGTATCCAAAGTTTTTCTGTCTGTCTCTGTCGCTCTTGCCCCTTTTCTATCTCGTGCTCTCATGGTGTTTGGCCATAGCTTGACATTGAAAACCAAAGCCAAGTGCCGTTGAAAATAGGTTGGCTGTTGCTTGTTTGTTGTTGCTGCTGCTGCTGTTGATGTTGCCACATTGTTGGCTGGCTAAGCGTGTGAATTCTGTTTTCGTTGCAACTTTCAAAGTAAAAAGAGACGACGCAAATTAAGTCAGGGCTGTAGAATTGCATTACTCATAAAGTCAAGCTGCTATATTGAATTTCACATCGTGGCGAGTGCATTAAATTTCATTTGCAAAAGCGCACACAAATGTGTGTGGGGGTGTGCGTATGCGATATCAAGCCATCGTCTCTCCAAAGCCAATATACAGATACTCCAATTCGCCAACAAGGGTAAATACCTACCAACTGCTGTCGCGCTAAGGTATGATTTCCAATAATATATTCTTTTACAGAATGAGTAAGTGTTTGCTGTATGAATACAAAATTGTTGATAATCATATAACTCATACGGAAATAAACAAATATGTATGTTCAAAGGAATGAATGAAGTTTTTTATCTGACGCGAATTGCGATAAGATAAACAACACTTGAATTATCTCCCATGTATGTATATTTTCACTATATACTGAACGCCAATTCGTTTGATAGACGATTCTTTATTCATATTTTAATATACACTTCGCATTTTATAAATTACGCATTATGCGATTCTAAATTCAAGCTGGACATCGTTGAAGAAACCCCTTTCAGTTTGAACCAGCTCGAAATCGCTATTCACACAATCGGAATAACAGTTTTTGGACTTTTCGGCAGCCACTGGACTTAATTCATTCTCGAAAATCTGCCTTCTCCAAGCTCTAACTACTTCTATTGCATCCAAATATGATTGCATTTCAAAGAGCAGTTCATTGTTTTCCAAGATCTTTGCCTGATTCAGCTTATAAATCTTGTGCTCCAAATTCAGCTTATTCAGCAGATTGCGTGCCAAGTCGACAGCGTTTTGTCTCGCTGTCAGCTGTCCCTCTAGCTTTCTGTACAGCAGCCGCGGACTGAGCTGTACCGTGTCTACGCCATTGGGCAGGGAAGCCAATACGCTTCTGTCCAAGCTTTGCAAAAGCACCACAAAGACTAATAGGACCACAGAAGCTCTCATCACGCTTGTCTCAATTAGCTTCCGTTCACAGAGCTGGCTGAATAACAACTAAAGACGAATTTCGCTGATAAGCTTAGTGTTGAGCGCTCATTATCAGGCATGCCCTTCTGATCCTTAAACTAATAATCTTTATTTGGTTTTAAGTGGGCTTTCCACTTTTAAATGTGTATATATATATATATATTTATTGTGCATATGTAAACATAAATTGTTTTCATTTATTTATTTATATATATTACTATATATTTATTATTTAATAATGCCGACAGTCTAGACTTTAGCAATGTGAGCAAATTCGTTGAGTAAATGTCTTCTGGTTATTAATAATTATATATATGAACATGAAACTATACTTTATTAGCTTATTTAGTTTCTACACTTGATGAATTGATCAAAGCCGAATTCGATAAACATTAAGAATATATAGTTGCAAGGCTTAAATGATTGTCAATCGCATTGTTCATAATGTATCTAGAATCTATTTGCATACTAAATATAAAACATAAATATATTATTTGAATAAAGTAATAGTGGCATAGTCGGGACTTTCTCCCTAGAAGAACCCTATTCTATTCCAATCAGTCTACGCTTCTTTTACACATACATACATTGCGAGTAACACATACACACATACATACTTAAAAGCACGCGTTCCGCTTACTGCGCACTTCACTATGGCTAACAACTAAATTGTTGAAGAACTTTTCTTCTAGCTGTACTTTCTGTATCAAATTTTTAGACTGAGATAAAAGTATTCATACGTGTGTATTTGGCAAAGTGGGTATATATATATCGACTCTACTCTCTCTACTTACTTTATGGGATGTGGCACGCCTCTTAGTCTCATACATGTATATTCACATGCATATTCTCATTTTTAATGTGTATACAAATATGCGATTTATCATGCCATAATATGCATTTCTAGCGAGTAATAATAAAAGTTTAATTTGTGATTATTAGAATTTTACTTGTAAATGAGTTTTTATAATTGTATGTGTTTATTTGCCTTTCGAATAATTTGTTATTGCTGGCAGCAACACGAGAAAGCAAAGACTGCAGTCGAGAGTGCTTGACTCGAAGATACTCAGCTCTGAAATAGTCAAGAAAGAAATTTGATTCTTATTCCATGAAATAATATTATATGATGATGATATTTGTATATTATATTTGTTTTTTTTTTCGCCACTTTATGTTTGTATATATGTATGCTATTTATGTAGTGAAAAATCTAGTTACAAAACTGGAAAAAAATAATTCACATGCAACGTCTTTGGCATTTGTTTTGGTATAAACAAACTAAGAAGCTTCCAGCTGTGCGCGTTGATTGGCATACGACACGATGCGTTTTCAAATACGGACAAAAACTTGCAACAGAGTAGCCGTTGTTGTTGCTGCACAAATAGCGTATACGCCGCCTGTTACCATGCCTCAACAAAAATAGCAAACAGTGTAAACATTTTTTGTTTTTCTATGTATTTTTTTTTTGAGGCAAACACAAGGCAAAGGCGGGTTATCTAAAAAACATAGACTCAACAATTTACAATTAATTTTCATTGTTGCTTTCGTTGGTTTCATTACAGATTCGAAGCGTTTCATCCGTGGATTAAGGTGCATTTCATTTTTACAGCAGGCGGCCAGTTGTGTTTAGGTTTCAAGTCATTTCTTCATTGCTGTGCGTGGTACGCCTTGGGCGATTGTCAATCATACGCAACGTGGTACGTTGTACGAAGCCAATCAAGTGAACGATAGGTGAGTTTGCACATACTTCAAATTAACTTTCGATGCAATGCAAAGTGCACAGTAAAATGTAAAACTGATTATCGGCTATAGTCAATAGCTTTGTTTATTTGTTTGTTGTATTTTTCTTTATTGAAGCTACAAAATGTTCATTGGCATTTTTTTACGACATTGAGCCTTGAACTGTGTCGGCAATCATTCACACCAGGCTACAAATTAGCTATATGATATGCCTTCATTGATAAGCTAAGTCAAATCAGAGCTCGATTACTTACTTGAGCAAACACGCACTCTCTTTCACTCACACTCTCTCTCTCTTTCCCTATCTCTCTCACTGGCTGTCTATGTGTCTCTGTTATTCTTAACTAAACAATTTTATCTGCGCTTTTGCTTTTTTGACTTCGCTCAACTGCTGTCAATTTGGCTAAAAATAAATTATTACTGCATATAGTATATACACAATATGATATCATGCCGCTTCGTTTTTGCCAATTAAAAAACCAGAAAGTATCTGTTAATGTTGTTGCTGTTGTTGTTGTTGCTTTTTGTAAATTATGAGCGGCGATAATCACACTACGTGGAACTTTTTCAGAATTGTTTGCCAGCTTTGAGTTTGGTCTAGTAATTAGCTAGTTGAACGTCGCATGCGTAGCTCAAATTTCAAAACTACATGCACTTTGCACAGATACTAAGCAGCGAGCTAAGGCTGCAGCTGGCTGGGCAGGCAGAAGCTGGGTGTGAAAAGATTTATGTGCCTGGCAAGCATCTTGCTGCCGTCGCTGTTGTTGCAGTTATCAATGCGTTGGCCCCACAGCAGCCAACAGCCAACAGGCAGCAGCCACAGCCGCCCATCCCGGCACACATGCATATCCCAAGGCAGCTTTGGCTTCAACAGCAACTGCATTGCCAGCCATTCACCCGAACGATTCCAGTTTGTGGCCTTTGCTGTTGGTGGCTTCTTGAGACATTTCATTGTATGGCCTTTTATTTATGGTCTGCTCAGCTTTTTATAACTCTTCGATTTATATTGATTTGTAATGCACATAAAAAGGCCAGTGCTTTTACATGCAGTTGACCTTGTCCCTGGCCGTGTGTCTGCATTTGTATTTGTGTCGGTGTCTCGGGCCAGGATGGGCTGATACCTGTCGCTGTTACCTGTTGTTGTTTTTGTCGCCATGTAAACGATCATAGTTACAAAATACCGAAGGTCGTCAGCCAAACCTTAAACAAAAACTATGCAAAATGCGGCAGCCGCCAGCTTGCAATCTGAAAACCACTCGACGCGTCGTCTCACATTACCAGCCGCGTCAACAAGTGCAACTGGACATTGTTGTTGCCATTGTTGCTTGTTTATGTCCGCAGCACGTCAAAAGCGATGTCGTGGACCGTCCAGGTGCAGGCCATGCCCAGCCGGTGACATAACTCGAGCTCAAACTGTGAAATGGGCATTTCTGTATACCCTAAGCCAGATGGAAGCTAAGCTTTAACATGCGCTTGGGCTGCGCAGTATATCAGAGCCTCACCTTCCGTGTCTACATACAAATAGATCCTTTGGAGCAGGGTATTTCAGCCAATAATGCATACATGGGCTGTCTTGCATACTATCTTGTGGCATGCCACCTACAAGTAAGCCAAATGACATACCTTGACATGCCATAGATAACTTCATGGCCCAAAACGGAGAGCAAAACACTTGTGCATGCAAATATTTCACAAATTTTTGCTGCTTGCATAATTTGTTAGAAAATTGGCAATTGCAACAGCAACAATAACATGAGAATGTGTAAATTTATGACAGTGTTTATAGATGTTGGTCTTTTTCGTTGTCGTAGCTTTTTGCTGTTGCCGTTGCCGCTGCCGCTGCCGCTGCCGCTGCCGCTGCCGTTGCCATAGTCGTTGCAGCATGTTGCATAAGTTTACTTTTTGCCTGGCTTTTATGCGCACCGCAAATAGCAAAATATTTACTTTATTAATTAGGCAACGCAGCAATTGCATGCAATGTTTATCAATAATATTTGCCCAGCTATGAATATTTCGATAATATTTGGCAATGCAGCTTTTAAGGGCGCTTCGAGATTAAGACTTTTATGCACTTAGCCAAATGTCAACAGTCGTCCGGGCAAACAAATTGAAAGAGACAAAGAAATCTCAAGCAACACGTGCGCATTGCATTTATGATTAATGGACAAGATGCGGAAGCCGATCAAGTGCCAGCGCATCTGGACGGACGGGCGACGGATGATAAGTTTGTTTTGTTATGGTTATATTCGTAAATTATTGTTTGCTCGATTTCGATGGAGTTGGCGATTGCGTAAATGCCAGCGGCAAGAGGCCAATAACCGTTTAAAGAGAACTGGTTCCGGCACCAGGAAATGTCGAACTAGTTCATCGATTGCAAAAGCCAGCTTTCGAGAACGCAAATAGCTTGTAAAATCTATCAGCTGTTTGATGTGGCCAGCAAATTCAATTTCAATTAAAATGCCCATGTAGTGCTTGTGTGTGTGGGTGAGATCAACACACGGGCACACACACACGCGTACACGTGCATATATGGGTCAGAGTTAGTTATTAGCGTTTCAGTTGATGCCATGACCATGCACTTTCCGGGAATTTTTCATTGAAAATTTAGGCAAAGGCCGCGCTGTTTGCTGATTAAAGGCGCTTTGCCTTAATGCCGAGGCTTTCACCGGCATGTGGGTCACCTTTCGCCAGAGAGTATTCCCATTCTGGCGGCAATGGCAACGGCAACGGCAACGGCAACGGCACCAGCACACAGATCTAAGACAGAACGCTGCTCCTAATGAACTTGTTCTCGCAGCCAATGGGTAGCAAAGTTTTTCAACTTGTTTTGTGGTGTAGGTGTTTGACCCTCAGTCAAAGACTTTTGTTGTTTCTAAATATGTAAATTTCGGCTGACTTCAAAATTCTTATTTCAATTAACTCTATTCGGGGTTTTTCTGTGTCCGCTGCAAAGCTCAATCAATTCAAATTTAAATACATTAATCAATTCCCACGGCAAAAAATGTGTATGAAAAAGCCAAAAAAATGTAGACAAAAATAAACTAACAAATAAAAATGAATAGAAAAGAGCGACAATTTAATTATAACAACGAACAGCAGCAGCAACAACGTCGACTACACGAGGGAATCTGAAATTGATATCGTGACTTTGTGTAATTTGTAATTTACGATGAGATCACTTCCTCCAACAATGTATCAACGTGGACTCGGCCAGCCAGCCAATCGTTCGTCGTTGGTCGCATTCTCTCGTTTCTATTTTCCTTTTATCCCATGAGCTTGCCCCGAAACAAACGTCAATTCGTCACCCAGGCGCAGCAGCGCAGAGCGGACAGGGAAACAGCTATCTGTATCTGGTTCTATGGCTGTGTGACAAGATAAGCCTCAAAGTCGTCGGCTCTGGCAGCGCATGAAAAAGCGCCTTTGCCAGATTCAACGTCCAAGATCTGTGCAGTGTAATGTTTCAGTTTCTGTTTTTGGCTTGTGCCTGTTTGCAGTGCAGTGCTGTTGTTGCCTTTGCTTTCCTGCTGACAGACAGACCGACTGACAACAGCGTCCTGCGCATCAGCATCAGCATCAGCAACTGTGTATCGGAGCATCAATGGCAAGCAGCGCAAAAAGTTCAAGTGGCTCGGGACAACAGAAAATTTGCATTCGTATTTCGCAGTTGCAGCCATTGCCATTGGCATAGGAATTGTCTGTGGCCCGTAGAGTCCGCGAGTCCATGCGTCGATAGCTCTTCTGCTTTGTTTCGTGGCAGGCTTCACAAATGGCATAAATTGGATTTGGCGTTCGACTTTTGCAGCTCGCTAATAAATTCAGAATGCGCAATTGAAATGAAAGCAGCAGGCGCATAAAATGTAAATCAAATGATTCTCTTCTGATTGGCCATGCACTTAAATCTCAACATGGATCTGGCTCATCTCGCGTCTCCAACTGCATTCGGCATCAAACAAATTTTGTGGGAGTCGCTCATATATGGCCAATTATTTCGACTAACTGCAACTTGGATGGGAATGTTAATTAAACAAAAAAATCTGGCTAAAGAGTGTGGGACGTTTGTGGGGCTTGTCTTATAAAGATTTCTAAACATCATTCGGAATACTTTATATAATACATATATACATATTTGTATTCTTTTTTTATATATAAATATTAGATAAATATTACAAATTAAATGCATTTAGCTTAACATTATAATACTATAATTAATTGTTGATTTGTTATTACTTTGCTGGCGTATTCTCATTTTCATTCTAGACATAGCTTTGATTAAAACTCAAGGCAAATTTCATCTAGAGCTGAGAGCTGACCCATTTCCGCTTGAGTTTTAGCTCGAAATTTGCCCAGTCAGTCCTTGACCTTAGCATTAATTGTGATAGCCTAACTCACGTCCGCCTTTTATGGCTACCGCTCTTAAAATCTATTATTATATTGTTAAAGTGAACTCATTAAGTTGTAACAAGCGCAAGGCGGCCGTCTTTTATCTTAGTTTCAGCTTTTCTGTTTTAATAGGAGTTTTTTGTTTTCTGTTGAGCTCATCAAAGTTGGGCAATGGTTGAAATAGTTTATCGTTTCTGTTTCTCTGCTTTTGGCAAACAACACCAAAAGAAAACAAGTTGCTTAATTAGCCGTAGGCCCACGCGTCAGATTCTCGGCTCTTGATTCTCGGATAATGTTGCAATATCAAATGATTGCTTGCGGCGAGTGGTCTGAGCTATGCTTCGTAGCTTATTACAACTACATCGAACAGTGTGACAGATTTAAAAGTGTCAGCAGCATATTTAATGCATACAGTTGGCCGGGCTGAGACTGGGGGTTGTCTGGCCAGCGGATCGGCCTACGTTCTGGCTATTGATTTGTCACTGGATGGCACTGGTTGGTTGGCTGGCAGCCGCTTTAGGCGGCACAAGCAAACAGCCTCTGACAGACGCCAAAGCTGCTTTACATGTGCAGCGAAGCGTGTGGGCAATCGCCTGACAGTTGGACAGGCC